GCTGCTGTCGCGCGGTTCAGAGGAGGCCGGGTAGAAGACGGCACGGCTCGGGAAATGCCCTCAGGATACTCTTCGTCGTTGCCGCAGCTGCCTTCCTCGCGCTTGCCGTCTCACCAGGTATGAAACGATCAGCGATAGATCCATGTCGATTGCACGCGCGACCTGTTAACGATAAGTAATACGAGATATGTATAAATGAGGAAATGAAACACATCTCGGAGATTGCTTTCGTTTAAGGGGGAGAAAGTTTTTCGGTAGCACTCTCGCGTAAGATAGATCGGATTCAACCATTTTTGAATCCTTGTTAGTTACATGTCTTTCATACGAGAAAGTTTGTTAGTGTCATTAATGTCTAAAAGAGAGTAGAGATCAGGAGAACTGCAGTATTTTTTCATAATTAAATTATTAGACAAAGAAGAATAATAGAAGAATAATTGCGTGCAAATTAAAATTAAAATTTCATTAAGACTTCGATCTTCATCAAATATTTAACGAATATTGCTTTTCAATGGGACAATTCACTTGATATGATATTTGACTATTGAAAAATTCAGAATGAACATTATCTTCCCCGAGTTGGTTTCTCTATTTTACTCCTCCACTGTATATATATAAATTTATATATACAGTAATAAATTTATATATATAGTAATAAACTTCCTATTTAGCAATTCAGAAAGAGAAAGTTTCTTACTGGTATTAATCGAATATTCAACTATTAATTCAAGATGAATATATATTCGCTTTCCCTATTTTTCTTTTTTTTTTCATCTTTTGCATAACAAACTGTATTGTTGAATTGATAATGAAAGACCTTGGACTTTCTTCTAGCAACATTCAACTGTGCGCCTATGAAAAGAGATTTCCTAAGAAACTATAAATCTATCAAAACGTAAAATTTCGATACGAGCGTATATTTTTGTTGCTTCCATCGGATATTATTCACGCATTAGTCGGTTGGGTGTGTCGCCCGTTCGATTTTTTAGAGATTTTCCAACGTGGGAGTAATCTTTAAAGCCGATTTCTACCAACGTTCGACTCGCACAACCGAATGAATTGAACCGGAATCGTTTATATATTTCGCGAGATGAACGGCCACGAATTTATCTGAGATCGATCGATTCCCCGATCGAAAAATAACTCGCATATATGCGTCTTGATGTCCATGAAAATCTATGGCGATACGATCACCCCGGGTTACGACGCCGTACCCCGCGTTGGATATTACAAAGCAGTCCGAGATGGGCTCGCCTGAAATGCGAGGAATAAACAGAGCGCCCTTTTATCGGAGAAACAAGACAAATATTCGCCGCATGCCCCGTGCTGTGTCGTGCGCCTGCAACGTGTTCACGCGCAGACACGTGTATTATTAAAACACCGGTAGGGCGGATTCCCGAGATTCATCCATTTATCTCCCCCATAAGAGTCTTATTATCATGCCAACGTATCAAAGTAAAACGCGCCGGAAACGAGATCTCGATGCGACTGCTAATCGAAGGATCAGAAAAATAATTACTTTTTTTTTCTTTTTTTTTGGCATTTTACTAAAATAAATCATATCATCGGAAACGCGCGCGCGCAAGATTTGCAATGATAAAGAAACACGAAAGAAATCAAAGGAAATAATATTTTTTTGCTCTATTTCTGTGGACGATTAATGGAAATAGAAAGTTGTGAGAATGCTTTATTCCTAATTCATCTTGGTATTGAGACGGATAGATGAGAGCATTGTATCAAAATTCAATTGTATGTGTGAAACTGTGACGCGATTCGGGTAGCTCGCGATATTTCCTTTTTCACTCAGGGATACATAGAGAGACGAGAAATTGAATCATCTGCACACATAGAATGTCCAAAAAAGGGACACCATTGATTCTTAAATGATTAAATTCCAGCAACGTAATTACCGTAGCAGAAGCGATTATATCAATAATTAACGTTATCATTTCTTTTTAATTAGTTGAAAGTTACGTCAACTTTATCATTATTTGCTTTTTTAATGAATGGACAGGATAATCGTAATATATAGAATAATAGAAATATTAAAATAACGACGAAATAAAAAGAAATCAATATAATGAAAAATACATTATATAAATATATTTTTACATATATATACCACCCAGAAAGTGCATCTGCGATATCTATTAAGAAAACAGAGAATTGCGACGTGCGATCTCTTTTGTACTTTCCGCAAGGATTGATATAAATCGTTATTCTATTCGATTGTTAAATCGATTGTGTCGCGGTCATCGAATATGACGGTAGCAGCCTCGCTCGCGCACAACATTGCGCTATATTTATTGGCTATAAATTATAGTTAGTCCGTAATTCGCCACCCGTGAGCGTAATGACGCGATGTCATATAAATCATGAGATATACGTTCGGTCTCGGCATCTCGCACTCTGGCAATGTACCAAAGTGATTTGCGCTCCGTAATGATTTATAATTGGCAATTCAGAAGTTGATAATGCGGATTAAAACCTCAGACAAGATCGCAGCGCGTACATTAATAGGCCATTTATAATCACTATATCATTTACACCGAGATATAATATACTTCTTTTTTTCACTTTTCATATATCACGAGAAAAGTTATATATCTAATTTTTTCTTCTCTTTTCTATCGAACTTAATAAGAGGAATATGCAATTAAAATAAATAGCGAACAAAGTCTACTCTAATTTATTTTGATTTTTATCATTTCTCTTTACTTTGTCAATTAAAAATTGGGAAAAGACGAGAAAAAAACCGAGATAATTGTTTAATTAAAAAAAAAAAAAAAAAAGAAAAAATCTATGGTTTCGTGTCAAAACTGGCGGAGTAGCTCGTTAGAGCTCGAGACTGAGTCATAGTCAGCTTCGTTAATCAGATGAGATTTTTCGACAGTCGCACGCATATCACTCACGCGGGACCTTTATGCACCCCCGCGGTTCGATCGTTAATTATGCCCCCTGCATCCGTCGCTCCCCCGTTCGTCGGGCGCTCTCTTCTATTTATCCCGACAACGCATAAATATCCTCGCGAGACGACAATCAAAGGGGACTGCGGAGTAATCCCGCAAGGACGACGCGCATTACTCCTACCTGATGCGCCATTAAAACGTCGTCGGTGCACTTAAAACGTGAGTAAGAACTCTCCCCTCGTCTCTGTAACACACCGGCGTGTTTCCCTCCTCTCTTTCTTCCGCTCTCTTACGTTTTCTTTTCTTTCTCGATCTCTTTCTTGCGTTGTCGCGTCGTTCCCCTTACGGATTCATGCGGTTCGCTCGCTCGATCCGCTTGAAACGTGGCGTGTGGCCCGTAGACATCGTCGAGCTGCACCCACGCGCGCTATTTATCTCGTTGTCTGCCGAAGCTGAGTGCCAAGAGAGTATTTTTTCGCATGTCACCTTTCGGCTCTCTCTGTCGCTCCCTCTGGTTAACACGGATCCCCTGCCCGTTCTCCTGTGCCACGCTCTATCGCTTTTGCTCTCTTCCAATTTCACGTTCGCATCGCCGCGTTACAAGGAAGCACAGATGACAGGCCACGCGTCGTATCGAAAAGAGAAGGGTGTGGTGCCACTTCTTAAATTTAGATATTTTCTAAAAGCTATCGGGCTCCATCAACTAGCTGCTGTTAGCCAGGGTAGGAATTGTATAATTGTGTGTGTTTATGTGTGTGAGAGAAAGAGAGGCTAATTAATGGTTCAAATTAAATAAAAATTAAATGAGTCTCTTATTTCGCAATTTTGGCAAATGAATATCTTTGACTCGAGTCTTAATTGAAATTTACGACACAGATCAAAGAACCGAAAAAGTCACTGATCCTCTATGCTCTCGCTCTGCCACTTATCGTAAAAATATCATGATCACAAATTAACATCGCCGCCATGAAATAGATTATAGTTTTTTCATATATTTTTTCGTAAATTTATTTATGAGAAAAATCTCTAAAATAACACGAGCCTCACACGTAGCAAAAAAGTGCAAGAGTTACGCAATTAACGACTTCTCGGAGTCATCCGTCTTTCTTAAATATCTCCTTAAAACAAGCACAACAGAAAGAGAGAGAGAGAGAGAGAGAGAGAGAGAGAGAAAGAGAGAGAAAGAACTATTGGTTGCAATGCGGAGATGGTCGTACAATAATCGCGACAGCTGAGAAAAGTTACGCTCGTAAAGTCACGTTTCTCGCGGCTTCTCGCGTTTCTAGAAACGTGATAAAACCGCGATACCTGCTACGATATCTGCAACTACATGTAAATTTGATGCTTCTTTAATCTATTTATATCTAATTGAAAAAACTCATTTCGTGTTAGAAGTAAACACATTGGCGCCTCGGCATTATTCTATTCCCGAGAGAAAGCAATTAGTGCTCGCGTTTAACGTGTCGTAATAATAAACGTGTTCCCCAGGATTCGTCCATAGAGAAGAATCTCCGACTTTTTACGACAAGGTGAACACTCGACGCCCATAATTTTCTGGATGGCGAGGGTGAGTCAGAGAGACGCCATCATCGCCATCCCCCTTGTTTCTTGTCTCCCGAGACCGCGGATTGCTTTTTCCCGATTTTACTTCATCGTAAATTAGTTGGGTACACGCGACATGAAATGTCAATAGCGATCTATATCGCGACACGACGCGCGATCGAATTTCATCGTCTCGCCTTCTAGTATCGCGAATCTAATTGAAGGCGATGGCTCTCGATTTTCAAGGAGAGCCTTTGATTAAAGCGGAGCGATGTTAACGCGCACTCTGTGCCAGTTGTTTTAAATCCATCACATTCACAAACTAAATATTTTGGAGTCTTTTATCTTCTCCTGTACGCCCCAAAGGGAAAGGATATGTGTAAATAGGTGGAATTAATTCTTGAAATACAGATGTATATTTCAACGAGGTCTCAATGTAAGGCTATATATAATTGCAGTATTGTAGGTAGAATTGTGTATGGTTTCAATATAGAGAATAGTTCAAAAGGAATGCACGTATATTGGACATAAGAGATAATAATAGAAGGGAATGCACATTGGAAAATGAAGAGAGTTATAATTAAGAAAGAATATTAGATTTGGAATAGAGATAACAAGAAAAAAAAATAATAATAATTTCGGTGCCGCCAAGAGAATCATTCGATATAT